TGCAGTTGAACTTGAACATAGCCAAGCAGGCAACCACACGTTCTTCGCCCTTACAGCTACTTACTGGAATAGAAGGAACCACTCCAGTTATTAGGCCCTTAGTGCGAGACGTCGCGTTGGACAACTCTCACCCGAATCGTGAGGCGCTGCTTGTGTTGAAAAGGCAGAGAGCAGCCGAACTTCTTAGCTCAAATCAACAGCAGCAAGACGCCTATGTCAACGAAGGTCGTCGGCAGCCCCGTACTTTTGCTCCTGGTACTTTTGCCTTTATTAACAAGGGTGCGCAGAGTACTGGGAAACTGGACTCCGGGACGCGCGGCTCCTACAGGATTGTACGAGCCTTACCCCATCAACGCTTCGAGCTCGACCTTCTCGCGGGGTCATACGGAAAGAAGACTCAGACCGCCGCGGAACACATGGTTCAGTGGCGAGGCGAGTGGACCCCGGACGCATGTGAAGCCTTTTTCGAAAGTGATGAGTCTTGTAAGCCTTGACAATATGGCTATGTTTTTGCTCAGCCTCGACATTATGGCTATGTTTTTGCTCAGCCTCGACATTATGGCTATGTTTTTGCTCAGCCTCGACATTATGGCTATGTTTTTGCTCAGCCTCGACATTATGGCTATGTTTTTGCTCAGCCCCGACATTGTGGCTATATTTTCCATGCCCCGACCCTGTGGCTATATTTACGTTGCCCCGACATTGTGGCCTTACTAACTTTGCCCCGACATTGTGGCCTTACTAACTTTGCCTCGACATAATGGCAACCAGATGGTCTCGAAATTTGATTACGTAGCATTACTCCGAACGAAGTATATGGGTGTTGCTTTCACAGTGACCTCGATAGTGGTTATGTGATAGCGACGACACCTGGATCATACTAGTAATCGGCTTTAATGACTTATGGTGAGAACAGCTGTTGTCACTAATGAATAAGGTCCAAAATTACGTCATTACTGATAAATTCGTCTACAGTTGGTTGTCTTAGCCTGATCATGGGAGTGCACGCCTGTGGTCTTGTTGAGATGGGTAGCTGGAGCCATTTGTTGTTAAAATGAACAAAGAAGCTCAATCGGTGATTGATTTCAGAAAACCATTAACCCGAAGAGGAACCGATTGAGATTGGTTTGAGTACTGAGGCCCCGCCAAGACAAGAAGGCCGTGAAGGCCAAGCTGACGAGGACGTACAGCCGTCAGGAGAGGCCGTCTTATGAATTCCCCTGCCACCGGAATTTTTAATAGCCGGTTGGATGACGTAGCCAGCCGACCTTTCACTTTGTTTCGAGCGCTCGGACGGGACGGACGTGTTTAGTGCAGTGTGTTGCTAAATCGTTTCTTATTATAGAACTTACAATTTGATTATATTCTTTTGAATGTGAAAATTAAATCGGTTGTTAGAATTATTTAGCTTTTGTTTTTTTAAAAATCACTCGCTTTTCAAATTCTTAAGAATATACCTATATATATAGGTAATAACAGCGTCATTAAAAGTTGTTTTAGCCAATCGAAGTGAAAATCGATTTGAGTATGTTTCAAGAACTTTATCCGGAAATTAAGGTCAGCTTTTACCTCCGCTTTTAGGTAAAAGCGTTCCCTCACACCCCGCAAAATAATATGCTTGCTAAATTGACGCTTAACGGGTAAGAATTTGATGCTAATAAATACATTGTAAACAAAATTATGATTTATAAACCCAAAAATTACTTCGCTATTACTCTTTAAACCTAAAAAATAATTTCTTCTTACTTAATGTAATGGACGCTCACGTTGAATTTTTAACTTTATTGTGCTGCAATAAGGTCCAAAATTTTTTTTTTAATTCGGTGAGTACCATCGAGTAATGAGGTGTTAATGGAAATCAGTGTGAATTTTTATATAAGGACAATTTTTCGAAATTATAAATCACAGATTTGATTTTCTTGTTAATAGGTATAAATCGGTCGTTATTTAAAAGGTAAAAATTACATTTTACATACACATTTAATTTGACTTAATATTAGTTTATACCTATTTAAACATTTCAAATCCTTAATGCATTGAATTTAAATTTTACAAAATTTATGTTGATTGTACAAAAATTAAATAAGTATTACTATTTACAAAAACTTTCTATAGAAATTCGAATTAGGATTTCATAAATTTTTAAGCAAAATCAATTATGTTCACGGTCGTACGTGTGTATACCATATTTTCTATACTGTCGCAAATAGGAAACCTAAGTGATCGTACGTAGGTCAAGGTCACAAATTGGAGCGATTGTTTCGTAATTATTTTTATTTATACGTGGTGGTGGTCTAGGGAGTCTGTCGTCATAAACAAATTCTTAGGAATTCTTTAGGACTAGTTACATATTTTTGTTGTAACTAACAAAATACACACTTCAGGTCACCAAACCAGGAAGACCAATCCGCATTGGGCAATCTGAAACGACTATAGGTAAGGTACTTCAATACCCAGATCATATTTGGGTATTTTTTTCTATCAAGCCGTTTATTGCCATTTATATTTCTGTATGTAGCAAACCATCGACCATACGTCCGTCTTCTGTTATTCATATTTTTCTCTTATTTGACATTTATTAAATTTTTTTTGCTATATCAAGTATTTTCTAGATATGCCATTGTTATTCTAAAACTAATTACCATACACTAATGCTACAATATTTCGATAAGGCTGTAAATGCAGAGCTTTAAAAAAATATTACCTCTCACAGAATTCTATATAATGATTTTTTCCTGCATTAAATAACAAATTTTGATTCATACTAGTTAGCTAGAAATACGTTGCTTATTAATGCGACTTCCATTATTGGTATGTTTACTCACTTCTGCAGTTTTTTCAAATTTTCCTTTTGTCGTGAAAAAATAATGAATGAAGTACAAGAATTTCAATAACCATTAACGAATGGTTAGAATGGAAAGCTTTATTATTTTTAAATATTTCATATTTCAAAACTATATATGTATGTGTATTTTTACACTTCAAATCTCTATGAAAAAACGGAATTTTGCAAATCGGTGAACATTCATAAAAAAAAACATACATCGCTGTCGAACCTCCTCCTTTTCGATTCTGAAGCCGTTTAAAAATAAAACAATACATAGCCTCTGCCATTTTCTTCTTGGTTTTTGAGTTAGTTAGTTTTTCTTTTTACAACAGTGAAGCTTTCGTCTTTATAATACACAAAACTGAATAACAAAAGCCTAAACCAAACAAAATCATTTGAATTCTAATATATAATCTCCATAAAGTATATCCTGTGGAAAGAAATAATGAACACATGGACAATGTTATTGAAACTATTATGAAGGTTGTTCTTTCAAATCCGCAACCTCCAAATATGATCGCATGACAAGACTAAACAGTAGCTAATTATTTCAAATCTGTCAGTTATATGCCTAATTGAGACAATAATGTTTACACGCATATGCTGAATTTTAAACGAGGTTCTAAACCGCAAATAATATCAACAAAAAGTCTCAATACGTCAGTAGTATAGTACCTATGTACATACCATTACAATAAAGTGGGCAATTCGGACGTCAGACTTCTAATGTAAAGCCGTGTATCCATATTGCGAGACTGCTTGTTTGAGCAGTAACCGAGCACCGCGGTGCGCAATGCGACGCACTCTTCGAAGAGTCTTTATGTAGGGAATGATCGAAGCAAAAAAGCCTATACGTCAATAACTGAGTGGCTCACACTGAGCGCCCATTCATCACCACCACCAAATTTCAAATTGGCTCACCAGGCAAACTCGTCTCCGCATGGCGAGGCATGCTTCGCGAGACATTCTAAAAATGTCGATAGCAACATTACCAGTTTTAACACTGACCTCAATGGTCACTGGTTTAATACTACAAATATCTTATATACTTTAATACTACAACACTGGTTTAATACTACAAATATCTTATATACTTATATACACACACGAGCATTAAAGAAGTATCCTTAAGAAAATTCAAGCCCTTTTTTATGTTTTCTCTATGATGTACATATTTTCTTAATCCTTAGATGGGTGAATCAACTTTTAAGACACTCCTTTCTTGTCCGCGCTCTAGAAAAATCATATTGAATAAAACTCACTTATAATCTTCTTTTTTTCTATATTAACCTAAAATTAGATGCATTTAGTAACATGAGAACAAAGACTTTTTAATTTTAACAATTTTAAACGTTTCAAGCTACAGTATCGCAGGAGAACATTTTAACTCTCCATACAAAAACTCTGTGTCACCAGGCATAGCCGATCAAGCAAATCAAGTCAAATCTTAAAAAATATATATCAAGCTACCCAATTATTTCGACATATTTAAAATCTACATTAAATAAGCATTTATCTTTAGTACAACATTTTATTAATTGTATTTAAACAATATTTAATAATTATTCATTAGGATCTGTCGCCAATAATGTCTCAAAACTGAGTTCTCCCGAGTGACTTCTTTAGTTTTGAAATAATCGCGCGCAGAGTACCTATTTGGCGTCGCTAGCGCTGCCTTTTGTCTAACTTCACGTCGATGTTGACCGTTATTTTCTTTCGACGTTTCTCCCCCCGCCAGTATTCGTTGCGTTCCCAAGTAGTGCGTGTGGGTTTATTGTTGCTCCGCAGCGTTAACCCGGACATCGTGGTAAGTTTGTGGAATATTTTACTATTATTATAATAAAATTTTAACCATAACGTCTGATTTGAAGGCAAAGTTAAAATAATGGTTCAATTTGCAACGTAGAATTACTTATTTGTATTTTTACCATGAATTTTTTACTGCGTTACTGGTAACGCAGCAGAATTGTCTCTTGCGATACCAGTAACGCCAGAGACAATGTGAGTAGTCTGACATAAATAGTTAATGCATTTATATTAAATAAAGCACTTTAACTTGCAACAACGCGTGTACAATTAGTTCCAGTATTGCTTAAGTGGTCATTTCGTAACCACGTCGGGAAATCAAAATATATAAATCCAAACCATTTTTTTAATAACCATTACTAATAAAATGCATACGTCTTATAATCATAAAAGACTATAAGTGGGATATATTTACACTCATAGTTGGATATTTCGGACTGCCAAAGTATTTAATAATATTGTTTACTTTGTCTTAGGTTTGAACTTTCGACTACACAAAAGTAAAATGCCGCTTAATGCCGCAGAGAAATAAAAGCGTTATAGGAAAAGGCTTAAAACTGATAGAGAAAAATACGAAAAAGCTAAGCAAAAGCAAAGGGAAAGATATCATAAAACTAAAAGATTAGTCAAAAATTTAACACCAAAAGAACGGTATAATGCAAACGTGATATGGAAACTAAGGAAAAGGCAGTTGAAGGCACGAAAGAAAGCTGCAGAAGGTTTATTACAACAGACACCTCCAGATTCGCCTACATTCGATTTAAATGTACAAGGTCGAACTCCGCCACCATCGCCATCGTCCCGAGATCGATCCTCACGAATTACGCCGCCACCCTGTTTTAGACCTTTACCAGGTCTTCGAAATACAGTACGCTGTTCTCCACGGTTAACACCACGATCTGGCAAGGAAATCCCACGAAATGCACCTTTGACAAATACCACTCCTACAACTACACCGGTCGCTTCGCCTCAAGCCACTCCACCGCTAACGCCAAGAATACGTTCGTGTGACTCTTCACCATCTGGGACCCCAAAAAATAGACGCAGAAATAAAGTTAAAAGGGACAGGGCACGCGTACATAGAGAAAACCAAATACTTAAGCAAAATATTAAAAAGTTGAAACAAAAATATGACAAGTACAAAAAAAGGTTTGAAAGAGAAAAGAAAAAAATGGCTCTTGACACTGAGAAAAATGAAGACTTACGGTAAAAGGTCCTGAGTAGAGCAATTAAGAAGACATTTAAACAAACAAAATCGAGGAAAGAACGAGAGGTGATTAAGAAAATTTTTTCAACTGTGGAGGTCATAGACTCACGAATGAAGAAAAAGATGCTTGAAACTGTGTTTAAGAGACGAATTAAAGATTTTTATTTGAGAGATGATGTTTCACGAGCTACAGCCGGCAAAAAAGAAACTGCCACAAAAGCACAGGTGAAGGTTCAAAAACGATTTATGTTGGACTCTATGAAAAATTTATATAAAACATTTATTAAAGAGAACCCTGACCTTCGTTGTTCATATTTTTATTTTACAAGAAATAAGGCATTTTATGTGGTTAGTGCTTCTGTTGATGGTCGAAATACGTGTCTATGCAAGATACACACAAACTTTGCATACAAAGCTAATGTTTTGAAAAAGAAAGGTATAACAGGTACTGACAACTTAAACATTCTTATTGAGTCGACTGTTTGTAATGTGAAGTCAAAAAATCGTATGTATGGTATATGTGATCTATGTGCTAATAAAAAATATGAATATTTCCGAAAGAATATAAGAGGTACTATCACATGGCCAGAATGGATAAGAAAAGAAGATAGTTACAAGAAAGACGAAAAATTATTAAAAACTACGATATAAAAAATGTTAAAGAATATAAAAATGAGGAGGCTGAAGCATTTGTCAAAATATTCGAGAATGATCTAAAGGCGTTTAAAATACATGTATTTAATATTAAGACATAAGTTTCCGCCACTGTTTGATAATATACGTCCATATGAATGCATTTTGGTCGCCGATTTCAGTGAAAATTACAACTGCAAACATAGCCAAGAAGTACAATCCCACCATTTTGGAGGGTCGCGTCAACAAATTTCTCTTCATACTGTTGTAGTGTATACATTTAACAAAAGCTCTGCAAAAGGTTATGAAGTTAATTCATTTTGTACTATTTCCGAATCCAACAACCATCAGCCTGCAGCGATTTGGTGCCACTTAGATCCAATTTTGAAAAGTATAACGTCTAATTTTGTAGATATCAACACAGTCCATTTCTACTCGGATGGCCCAAGCACCCAATACCGGCAAAAGCAAAATTTTTATTTAATATGTACAAAGTTTTTTGATTACGGGTTTGTTAATATGATATGGTCATATTTTGAAGCTGGCCACGGAAAAGGGCCAGCTGGTGGAATAGGAGGATTTCTCAAAAGAACGGCGGACAAAATCGTAGCTAATGGTAAAGACATTGCTAATGCTTGGCAATTCTATGAGGAGATGAAAAATGTTAGTAAAATAATATTATATGTAATTGACTCCAATGATATCGAGAACCAACATAAAGCCCTACCTAAAAATATTCCACGACTTGTAGGAACGCTAAAAGTTATGGGAAGCTAGAATACAGAGACCTAACCTGTTTTTGTGAGAGTGAGAGCCTAAGACCAAGAGGCTTCTGTTCGTGCCTTAACCCAAAACTTTATGACCTTGCAGTTCTTTTTGATGCAAATAAGAATGAACTTCTTCCAGACCTGACTAATGAAGATGCTCTGCCAGAAGCTTTAGAAGCACACATGATTAATTTCATGGCTTCTGATACTTTGACTTGAGATTTGGAAATTATATCTGATGACGACACACCATTAGCATCTTTAAAAATTTACCAAACAGTTACAGGAATTGACCAATAGACGCCAAAATATATACAGTAAAATTTATAATTCTGAATCAGATAAAAGCTATTCATCTGATAAAGAACTTAGTGCCAGCTATGACATTAATGCAAAGATAGGACGCGGTGACTTTCTAGTAGTTAAATTGTATGTAGATGCATCTAAAACTAAATCCTACACCTATGCTTGCAAAACATTAACAGAAATTGAGGACGACGGAGAAATACAAGTAATGTTTTTACAAGTGGTAGATGAAAACGCCAAACGTTTTCGTTTGGATAAAAAGGATATTTCATACGTTAATCATGAAAATATTGTCAAAAAATTACCTGTACCTGCTCTTGTTAAGAAAGGTTGTCGCTCTTATTATGTTTTTAAAGAGTCGTTAGAAGTTTTTGAGAAGATATAAGACTTATAATTAATTGTTCGCTATTTCTTTATAGTTTTATTTTTGATCTCATTTAAGTTTATAAGTTTTTATTTGTTGCCTTGTTAATGTTAGATTACGTTATGTGATTAGAAGACTTTATGCGCAGGTGCTACCTTGTTCTCTAGCGTTACTAATTTATCTCTGGTGTTACCGGGTGTCCCCTAATTTGCGATTGTATTTTAGGAAATAGTTTCTGCAATATTAGTGGTAAGTAATCAAAATTATGTAATAATAAGAATATAAAAGTTACGACTGATTTAGATATAAGTTTCAAATGACTGATTATTTGTAATATGGAGCTATCTTAAAGTTAGGCTTTAATTATTGCCAAAGTAAGGCAGTCCATTTAAAATATTATGCATCTCAAGAGGTAATAACAATAGACTAAATTAAATTATTTTAAAAGGTTCTATTTTTGTTGTGTTAAAGAATTATATATCTGATTTTTTTAAATAGTTCATTTTATTTCACAAATAAATGTGGCAAAATAGATAACGCAGGTGAAAGATTAACGACAGACCTTCCGTTGTACTCAAAAATCTCAAAAAGTAAAGGTTTAAGTTCGCGGCTACCTTAGAAATCTAAAAATAGGGTAAATGCTACAATATATAAAAACATTTATTCTTGTAAATTCGATTAAATTATATTTTGATTTTTTGTTTCACAATGCTGACAAAGGAGTGCCTTAAAAGTTGATTCACCCAGATAGCTGTGAGCTTTATATACTTTACTCTTTGGCTGTAAGATATTGTTATCTAGGACTAACGTGTGTGATATATATCTAATCCAAAAAGTTTGAATATCTTTATATTTAACTTTTCTAATTGAAAGCGCATAAAGCTATATTTGTAAACAGGATTCACAATTACATTCCGATACAAAGATTTTATTCTATAATAATGCACTTACATCTCTGAACTGCACAGAACCGGCTTCTCCCAGCTCAGAGACTGAGGTATAAGCCGCCTCTGGCTGTATAAAGAGCTGACACAAGGCCATCTCCTCACTCCTGAACATCGCCCCCATCTTGCTACGTTTCTATGGCACACCCGTTCTATAATCAGAAAATATAAAATCATAAGTTGATGTGTAGATAACAGCTGATAAATAGAAACTGAGAATAAATAAGAACATGTAAAAATATGTGAGACTACAGAGGTTCTCGTACATTTCTACAATGGTTGGCTAACCAATTAGGCAACCATTACATATATCAGCAAAGTTGATTTCACAAAGAGAGTCAAAAACACGAGAGCTCTTAATTTAACTGACACAACTCAGGCTTATGATCTTATTGTAATTTATTTGTAAGCCTAAAATTTTTTCCATCGCTAAATATTTCATAACATTACCGATAAATTATTAAATCCTACTTATAAGCAACATACGACTATTTCAAATACGCTTTCATTTCGTAATAAATACAAGATTATTAAATGACATAGAATATTACATTCAATGTAATTGTTGCGACAGCAAAGAAAGGAAATGCAATGTAATATAAATTCATGCTTAAATAGCAGTTTTGTTGATATGAGTATGAGGATATTTGTTTACTTCTAAAACAAGTATAAGGAACAGGTGGAATAATTGATAAACAAAATATTTATTTAAAATAAAATTACGTTTATCAACTCGTGTATACGTATGTAGTTCCATCTTATATTATGGAAGTCGTAAATAATACAAATATAACACAAATACTTAATTTATTTATTTACCATGAGAGTTAAGCGATTGATTCATTGATGGAGTAGATATATTAGTCAACTAGTGTTATTAATAAACAAGGTTTAACCTTAGAGTAAACTTACAATGATACTGCACTTAGTGTTAGTCAAAATTCATATTAATAAACGGAGACTTAGCAAAGGTTAACCTGGTATGAGGTTCAACGGGAGGATATTCACTCGATAATTCTCTTTATAATATGAATTTGGATTATTATTAAAATTGCAATTTCAGCGTAAATTTACTCTGAAGCTAAACCCTGTTTATAAATAGCACTGCCAATGTATATCTTAATAAAGAATATTTTGAGTTTGAATGTTCTAATGGCACAATTCGACCGGTGGTCGCAGTTTTTACTTTCTTTCGTGTAGTGTCACAAAAACTTTTGCGTTTAAACTATTTTTATATTAGTATAAACTTCGTTTATAAAACATAACTTAAGTCTAATTATATAATGCACATTCATGATAACGTTATTGGGAAAACGTAAACTTAGTTTTTCTGTTAATGAATTTACAAGGAAAAACTGAGATAATTTCAATCCAGAAAACTGATTGTAGCATTTATTGCCCCGATAACAACAATATCTATATATTGAGAGAATACCACTTTAATATTATTTTATTCCAAAAAGTTTGAAATTATTTCGCCTTATATTCTGCTAATTTTTACTCGTTACGAAAACACGACAACGGGCAATATTGATATGCACCTTGGCACCTGTACACATGTTAGCATTTCTTTAAGAACAATTATGACGTCTATATAGTTCGGGGCCACATCTGATCGAAATGGTAATATGTATATGTCTCAAGCACCTCCTAAGTAGTACGAGGTTGTGTAATGATTGCCAATTGCGAAAGTTATCTGTGTGTATTTACTTGACGTGATGTCATTGAAGAGCGAGATATGAATGATGACTGGCCGGAGAATGTTGTCATTAGTATACGCACGTGATTTGAATATTACAACCGAAGAAATTCTCGGTAATTAAATGTAAAACATTCATTTCAATATTACACTCATAGTTTTCAGATCTGATTTCTTTTATTATTATTTATTTTATAGCTACAGAATTCGATATAGATAATATAATTTTATTTTTAATAGTAAACAAGTTCGTTGAAGATCGTACTAATATTATAAATGAGTAAGTTTGAGAGGATGGTTGTTTATTTGTTTCTCATTCAACCAAAAAGTACATGAAATAAAATTTGGCATACGGATAATTCGAAGTCTGAACATATAGTCATATTTATATCATTAAAAGATTCCATAGGGATAAATTTACTGTTAAGTAAACACATATGCGAAGCCACTAGCGAAAAGGTTGTAATTAATTTTAAAAAATACATTTAGATGTTTAAAAATTTTGTTAGTGTACAAATTTAAAACAATTTTCAGTAAACACTTCGACAGGGCTATTACAATTTTACGTACGCTATATTTTAGTAGTAATACATAGTTTGTCGACGACATAGTAATTAGGCTGAGTTAATTAATGTTACATACCTACCTACATGAAAATGTAACGTACCAAATAACAAATTTACATGTAGTAATATAAAGCATATCTTTTTGGCTTTTTTGTCATGGAAATCATAATTTCTAGTGATTATTTCTCTTATAATAATAGGATATTATACATAAATTTATCCTGCGATAGGTTTGCTTTAGTGAAGCTACATTCATGTGACCAATACAACAATGTGTAAAATAAATATTGATTTATGTTTAACGGTATCTTGTACCACACAATGAGTCATTTCGTGTGCAAATAATATGTCAATTTTTAGTTATTTAAATAAATATAGTCTATTTCAGTTGCCAACCATATGCATTTATTTTTTATAAGTAGCTACTAGTTTTTGAGAATACATTATTGAAAACGGGCGTTAGTTACCTAAGTTATCGTCATCAGAAAAGTGTAATAAAAATAATAATATAGTAAGGTGTAACAGACTGTGAACCGTGCAAACAGAAATTAGTCACAATCTGATCCAGCGGTTACCAATCATTAATGTGTGGATTAAACCCCTTACTGATATAAATAAATATAACTACTGAAAATGATCTGCAAAAAAATTTAAGTGCAAATTATCTATTCCGCAATATAAATTAAATACTAATACAACATTATTGTATTACTATAAATATTACATTTTCTAATTTTGTTATTTTTAAACCACCGAACTAATTCATCACAATTTTTTTTCTTCTTTTACAGTGACATAATAAATATATTTTTCTTGAACCCTTTAAATGGGTAAAAAGAAACCTCAAACACGGTGGATTATTATAAAAAACATGTTGGGAAACACTGGTCTAATCATAAAACGCGTGGGCAGTCACAGAATTACATGCGAAAACAGTCAACCTAAACATTATGTCAAGGTTAGTCATCAAAACAAAAAGCCATCTCCCTCATCGGCCACCGGGCACTCAGTGAAGCAGGAATTACAGATTTCGCGGTCAATCACAAGGTCATTTAGTTTTTATAGCGAAGCCGTTACAGTTTTTTATGTAAATCTGACTAATCTTTCTCTTTAACAATAGTTGTCTGTATTGTTAAATAATAACGATTGTGTTGCATAAAAAAAGCAGGAAGTTAGCATTAAAAGCAAAACGTAGCATTCAATCTCGGGTCTCTTATATTCTCCTAGTAACAGTACCAGATGTGTAAGTAAGATAATAATATTTATTTACGATAAACACAAATTTATAATTTCCAAAAATCTATAATAATTTGATTTAATCATCGACGTTGTTTTATGCGACGGTTTTTTCTAACAGTCGGTTACAAAAACGTCCATTTACAATACTCATTAGTTTAAAGCGACAATATCCATACAAATTTGACATTCATTAGAACTTAAAGGCATCATTAAACCTTAATGGACGTTTGTACCAAAGATATGATTCACTTATGTATGTTAGTCATCAAATTACCCTCATTATCTAGTGAGAACTAACAGTGTTACGAATAATTAACACAGTTATCGTATAACTGAGTAAAACCTACAGTAACAATGACACTAATATAACTCTGTAGCTAAGTACTATTTTTTATTATCTATCTATACTCCATTCATTATAGCATTAGACAGAAGTGAAATAAGGTTCTTTTTATGGTATACTTTGTGACAAAATATCAATAATCATGTTACTTTTAAGACTGACGGCTAATTTGCTACATATTCACGTAAATATCAGTTGCTATACTTAACTGTTGTCATTTAAGCTAACTATTAAACAATTTTATGAGTATATGACTAACTTAAATGATTTAATAAGTATTACAATAAAAAGTGTCCATCGTAAAGAACCTAAAGAAGCAGGGTTGGATAGTTTCGGCACGATTCTCATGTCACTATAACTCTACCAAATTTAAAACGTTGCCTAACCCCTTCAAGCGTTTCGGTAGTACAGCTTTTTAATTTTGTCAGACTATTATTTATTCATAATTGTTAAAATCGTAATCTGGGATTGTGATCCATTGTGAATGCTACTGCCTTTCTTGTTGTTTAGCCGTTATCCGTGATGTTATTGTTTTATTTTTGTTGTTAAGTTTTGCTAAATATGGACGATGCCGATACAGGCCCGAGTCACCTACAAAAATTACGCTCTAAGCCCCCATACCTACCCTCAAACTTTGACATTTCAGGGAGTTTTTCCAATGTCTTCATCAATAGTCTAACTTATTACACTTACAATTAGAATTTATCAAAACACACAGATAGTTTCAGTTTTAGTTCCATGTTGGCTTGGGACTAAAGATGAATTTATAAAATGCTGGCCTCATCTCAACCCTGAGGTATCATAAAAAATGGAAAATTGCCCAGCTCTTTCAGGCCACCTAACGTTCAAAGTTTCAACAAAACTAATATAGATTTTTTTATAAAATATAAAATGTTCTGCACTGCTGCTTCTATGACCCTCTTTTTTCTAATGTTATAGTGAATGGAGTATAAGCTGGAGCTCTTTACAAAACTAAATGCCTCATGTCGGTACAAAAATAAATTACGTTATCATTGTTTGATTTGCATCCGTGTAAAAAACTGAAGTTGATTGAACAGAATAAAAATGGTATTATAAAATTAGTAAGTGAACTATAAAACAATGAATTTAGACAGGTAATACTTATAGAATATAAACGACCATGTGCAGTGTTGGAAGATTCTCGTTAAGATTCGTCATTTCTCGTACAAGCAAGAATATATATTACTGAAGAGATTGGTTCAGATGCGACAGTACATCTCTATCAGTATCAATCTGTCTATCCTCCAACATCAAGAAGAGGAAGAAGATAATAAGTCCGGGGTA